CCGCCTCCGCTTCTGGCCGTAGCCGGCGCGAGGTGAGAAGGCAGAGGGGGCGCCACCCGGTCCTCGACTAGTTCCAGGGCCCTCCTGTCGCCCCCCTCCAATCCCAGGCAGGTGACGGGGAAAGGAAAGGGACTAGACCCTACCGTAAACAGGCGGCGCCGCCGCGTGGGGCGACCCGAGCGCGCGCGTCAGCCCAGCGGGGCAGGGACCGATTTAGGGTCGGGGTCGGGTCAGGTCCTGTGGCCGCAGGGGTCTCGATGCCCTGTCCGCACGTCTGTCCGTTCTCCTAAAGCTTCTCGCCACTCGCGTCTCCGACACCACCTGCTTCCCACACGGCGATGGATGATGGCGGAGGAGGAGGATTTTGAAAGCCGGCAGTTTCTTTCCCTCGATTTGATTTGTTCCAGGCCTAGGCTGGCTTCCCCTTGCCCAGCGCGCGTGGCCTATCGGGTATGATAGTCCAGTTCTCCGGCGCTGGCGCGGTGGGCGCGGCAGGAGCGCGCACTACGAACTACCAGTCCCATAATCCATCGCGTCCCAGAGCGCCCCACAGCTCCCCCTTCGCCCTCCCATTTCGGCTTCTGGATCATTCTCGAAGAGACCACAGGGCGGCGCTATAACCGGGAGCTTCCAGGGAGACCACAATTCCCTTAAGGCCTTGCGGCTGGGCCGTCCCAGCCTTTCCGGAAAGGTTCATCTTCGCCTAACTTTATTGGCAGAGGCGTGGCTGCCAGAAGCGTGTTGCTAAATCTTTAAAGCAACAAGTAGGTATCCATGTCCTGAGATGTCTCGCCTTTTTCGGTCCCATAAAATTGAAAGGACATTCGAAGGCTTTCACATAAATAGACACAAGTTATTTGATAATTAAAAAAGGGAAGTAGGGTCTCTACAAGAGTGAAACTGTAGACATCACCTTAACCGAGTGGTCCACGTTAACATCCTACGGGACAAACAACCCTCTTGCGACGCCGATGTGATGCACAGAGAAGGATACAGCCATCACCATCCTGTCAACAACCACATCAAATGAATCCAATCGGGAGGAAACACACAAACCTAAACTGAGGAAAGTGCTACAGTGCAAAGAGACATGATATCCGCAATTTATTCTCAAATGGTTCAGAAAAAGAAATATAACTGTAAGGAGAGAGAATGATAAAACTAATGTGGCAAAATATTAACAAGTGAGTCTAGGTGAAGGGTATACGGGAGTTCTTTGAACATTTTTACAATTTTTCTGTATGTTTCAAATCACTTAACCACTAATAGCTTTTTGTGAAAAACAAATAGATTTTAACTATTATGTAGATAACATGTGTCCATTATAAACAATTCAGCCAGTAAAGGGTTAAAAAAAAAAAATAAGTAACCATGACCTGAAACTGTAGCCCCAGAGATGGTCACTGTTGCAACTTCTTTCCCAATGTTACTGCTCACAGCCCTGCCCACACATACGCTTTCCCTTCACCTGCAGCTGAGAGTGAAACGGAGCATGCACCAGAGGCTTTCACAAGCACCTCATTTAATCTTTGCAGTCACCCAGGACGTGGGTATAGTTACCACCCCTCTCAGCAGAGACACGAGGAAAGTGAAGTGCAGACCTAGGCCCTGGTTCACACCGCTGCTGAGAGGTGGCACCTGCCTCATAGGTTCCTTTCCACCACCTGACATTGCCTGCCCTCTCTCTCCTCTGCCTGCAATCAATCAAGGTGCATATCAAATGTCACCTTGTCTAGGGGGCCTCCCTATACCACTCCAGGCAGAACTAGTCTTGTCTTCCTCTGGGGCCCCACAACAGTTAGTGTGCGGCTCTCAGAGCTTTCTCATGATCAGAGTTAGCAGTATTCTTTTTCTTTTTTAATTTTTATTGTGATTTCGGGAAAAGTTTACAGAGAAAATTCACTTCCCACACAGCAGTTCACATACACTTTATCTCATGACATTGACTGCAATTTCCCACAATG